TGTTGGTGCCGTTGCCGTGGGTTGGTTTGGTACTAGGGAAGAGCCAGTGGGGCTGAACACCGCCAGAGAAGCGGTGTAACGCTGGGGACGGGCTGCATGGTAAATGCTTGGAGAACCACCAAATATTTAAGCAAAAAAAAAAAAGCCCATTAAGGTAGATTTTTCTGGATGAAAGCAAGCCCATTATTTTATAAACTGCCCCTGCCCCACCGGACAAGGCAGCGAGAAGCGCCTGCGCCGGCTTTGCAGTGCCTAATTTTATGCTTTATCAATTTACAGCTTATTCTACACAGAGGGGAATTAAAATAAGGCTGGGAATCATCAAAACATTTCACTTTTAATTGAAATTGACTCCAAGATTATACATTAGGGAGGCTAAATGAAAGACATTACACCCAAGCAAACTACTCTACCTGCTGTCTTTAAGAAAATACCAGCCTGGCAGCTCGCCGCGCGGCCCCGACTCGGCGTGGGGATCGCCGCAGCTGTGGGCAGAGCGCTCGACAGACACCAAAATAACCCGTCACGAACAGCTTCAGTTCAGCAAAAAGCACAGAGGTTTGAACGTTTAAAGCAGAAACCTCCGAGTGCTTTGAGTAACTGTAATTAATGTATTCAACATGAGCGGTGTCAAAAACTAAGACGTGACGGATAAGGAGGAGCCCACGGCTTCCCCTGTTTGACATCCAGAGAGAGAGAAATCCATCTGCAGACATTTAAAACACGAAATGTATTTCAGAAGAGACGACGACTGCAGTATTACTTTATTCTGCCCTCACGTGTAATGTATTTTGCAGATAAAAATGAATGCAGGTTGCAGGTGTAAGAGCCCATTGTGCGGATTGCAGCCCGGCCGCAAGGACCACAGCTGCACTGGAAAACAAACAGAGATAAGGAAGAGGTGTTATCTTCATAAAATATTTCCTATCAGATTATATTTACAAATAATTCGAGCACACCGATGGGGGTTGTGGGGGAGGACGGTCCGGACAATAGAAATAGATATGGGAAATAGAAAATGAGATGTGAAATTCATAATTGGAAGTAAAGACCACGTCCTTTCTGAAGTTACAGGCTAACACGCATTAAATACCTGCCCCTCTCAGGGCAGTGTGGGAATAGGAAAGTCTGAGCTGTTTCTCCTGTTTCTCATGTGTTTGATTCTCTGACATTATCACAAAAGATTTAATCAATTGTTGCTGAAAATTGTATTAAAAAAGAAATTAAAACCTAGCTCAGCAATGTTTTGTTCAGGTCCATAAAAACAATTTAAAGTACCGGCTTAGATTCCAATAGAAATGTAAATTGCGACAAAAATCCTAACTCAATCATCTGCAAAGCAAGGCTTACAGAAAAATGAGGATCTTACACACTCACTCTATAAGCAGAAGCACTTCAGGGGCTGTCTCTGCCCAGGCAAATTCGAGCAGCCTTCACACAGCCGCGGAGATTTCTGTTGTTACCTCCACAGAGGAATCCTACAAACCCACGAATGGCTCATGCGATGCAATTACTTAGCTGTAAGTGGGGCTAAATAACTTAGAAATTAAACAGCAAACGAAAAAAAAAACCACTAAAATTTCCCAAACGCAGAACTGCTTGCAATTTTTAGCCGCGGTTCAAAATCACTAACTTGTTCCAGTGAATTTTTCCAGCTCCAGAGACCGATCGCGGGTAATTTAAGCGGAATATTTCGTTGGTGAGTGCGGGCAGAGGGGCTGCCTGGCAGGGTGGGAGGAGGCTGCGGCCGTCCCCCGGCTGGATGGGCGAGATTGGCGTTCAAGTTGGCAAAACCACCACCTTCTGTTCTGATCACTTGATCGTAAGTCATTTTCCGTTCAGGTAGGAACTGCCCGTGTCGGCAGTGGAGGAGCTCAGGGCCAGGACGTCCACCCTGATGAGCAGAGGGACACCCCGTCCCCCCCGGCCATGGTTGGGGAGCTGCTTCCCTGGCCAGGAACAGGGACCGTGCCTCGGTGGGCCACCTCTTACACCACGGGCCATAATTAGGAGCTGAGCAGTGTGATGAGGTGGCCCCGTGGCATTTGCACCCCAGCCTCATCCCCAGGGGCGGCGGAGCCCCAGAAACAAGCTGGGGTGGGGGGTGTCAGAGCTGCCACATCCCCACCACCGCGGGGGGAGTCCGGTCCCCCGGCCCCCCCCAGCCACCCCCGGCTGCCCCTCCGGCTGGAGCCCGGCTTCCCTGTGCAAGCCCTGGGTAATTCATCTCGGATCTGGAGAGCAGGTGAACCTGTCCTCCAACTGGTCATGAGCTTTACTGCGTGTTTCTTGAAGGAGTCAATCACTCATCAACCCCGGGGCAGGAGTCCAGCTGCCCTCCCCTGCCCTGGCCACGCCGCATGGGGACCATGGCTGCCATCACGCAGCACAGCAGCTTCGCCAGGGTGATGCTCCCAAAGCCCCCAGAGCCCTAATAGCTTCCACCACCCCCACCGCTGAGCGCTGCTCTCCCTTTTTAATTAGGGAGGCTCCTTCCCTCCCAAAGGTGCGCTCCCCCACCAGCTCACCCGGCATCCCCCAGCCCAGCGGGACTCCTGAAAGCTCCAGCCCTTGATTAGCTCTTCCTTTTAATTAGTCTTATTCAGAGGTGTTGCCTCCTTCAACCTTGGGCTGCCTTTGCTCTTTCTTCCTGACCTGTTAACTGAACCTGGGGGCAGCAGCTGCCTCCC